TATAAAGAGGGTGAGGGCAAAGAGACCCTGTAGGAAAGTGGGCAGAGGAAGACAAGAGAAAGTAAAGGAAAAAGAAAAAAGAATTGGAGAATTTTGAAGCATGGCATCTATCATAGAAACCTTTTTATAAGCCTAAGAGTAATAAAAGTTGTAGCTTAAAGGTCTCAATAACTATTATACAAAGAACAATTGATATGGCTAATATAATTTAATTAATTAAAAATCGTTTTTAAAAATAAATCTTCACTCTTTCTTTTCAGGATCTCATTCCATTTCCAGCCCCTCATCCCAAAAATAAGGCAATCAAGCCTATGCTTTTGAAAAATAAGCATAGGTTTTTTATTTGTAATTTTTAATGCTTTTATTGTGGTAAAATTATAATATAAAATTTATCATTTTCACCATTTTTAAGTGCACAATTCAGTTGTGATACATACATGCACAATGTTTTTCAACCATCACTACTACCTATTTACATAACTTCTTCAGCAGCCTGAACAAATACTCACTATCCACTGAACACAAACTCCCAACAACCACTTCCCCAGCCCTTAGTAACCACTATTTTACTTTTTGGTCTCTATTAATGTCCCTATTCTAAGTATACCATTTAAATGGATCATACAATATCTATATGAACATCTGTATACTTGCAGCAATCTAGATGGTCAACAACAACAGGAGAATGATTTTAAAAGTGATAAGATCATACAGTGAGATACAAGAGCACAAATTCTCTGAAGAAATCCCTTATTCCACCAAGATAGAAACCCATCCGGAAAAAGTACCCACTAGGAAAATCTAAGCTTCAAAGCACAGTAAGGACAATACTTGCCAGTGACAGTTTTTTTTGTGTGTTTTTTTGTTTTTTGTTTTTTGGGTTTTTTTTAGAGGTTTTTGCTATAGGGTGTGTGTGCTCGTCAGAAAGACGAGCAATACTATACAGCAATAAAATGTAATATTATCTTCATTTTTTTGAGAGGTTTTTGCTATAGGGTGAGTGCCCTCGCCAGAAAGAGAGAGACAGAGAGACAGAAAGCGAGAAATCACCCCCTGGGGGGATGGCCACGCCGCAATCCCTTCTCCTCCATTCTCCTCTTGGCATGTTGGGTACGCATGCACACGTGCCCAGCGTGAATTTAAGCCACCAGGGCCGCGACTCGAACCACTGTCAACTACATGGGATTCCAGTGACATAGCTATTACACCAACTGCTGGTCCTGCATTATCTTCATTTCAAAAGCTCAAAAACAGTGTTGACGAAAAAAAAAAAATTGGAGAAGGGTAAGCAGAGTATGTAATTTATATAAATGTTAAAAACAGACAAAATGATACTACAAATTATTTATGGCCATATCTTAGTGTACTTCTAAACATATCTTGGAAAAATAGCAACTTTGAAAAAGCTATTATAGGTATGATGGAAGGAAATGAGATGAAGTAGTACAAAAAGGCAGCTGTAATGTTTTAATTCCTCAAAAAATATTCTAGGGGCTGGCAGGTAGTGTGGTGGTTAAGGGCTCTGGGCTCCAACAGAGTCGACTGTGGGTCCTTTGAGTCTTGGACTGGGGGGCCTCACTTTCCCTCTCTCTCTCTCTCACTCTGTCCCTTTCTGGTCAAACTGAAAGAAAGAGAGAGAGAAAGAGAAAGAGAGAGAGAGAGAGAGAGAGAAAAGTTAAATAACTTCTTTAAAAAATTCTAAAGGAAAATATGGCAAAATTTTAACAATTGTTTTCCCTTTTGTGGGTACATGGATGGTATATAATAGTCCGTATTTTTCTCTTAAAATATTTCATCATTTTAAAAAGAAGGACTACTTAATGTTTTAGAATGACAGAAAATAAGACAATATGTGCACTCCGAAGAGGGAAATGTACTAATGTAGACCAATCATAGCTTTTTTTCTTCCAGTCAACTTAACTGGCTATTTTATAAAAATTTTTTAAGTGTTAAATTAATACACACTCAGGGCCAGTGTGTGTATTAGTGTGGGAATTAAGGCTCCAGATTTCATATGGCCAGCTACATGGCTTGAGTCCTGGACCTGGCAGCTTGAAAATCACACCAGGAACATGTGTGTACATGCCCAAAATCCTGAGAGGAGAATGGAGGAGAAAGGATTATGGACTGGTCATCCTCCCTGGGGGATGACTGCTCACTTTGCTCCTCTTTCTTTCTCCCTGTCTCTCTCTGGCAAGTACACTCACCTTAGGGCAAAAAAGTAAAAAATAAATAAATATTAATATACACTCATATAATCTTTGGAAAAGATATGCATTAAGTGTAATCTTTGAAAAAGATAGGCAATAAAAAAGCTAATCAGTGTGAGTGTTATTATGGCACTTGAATTTGCTTGAAATTACTGATTCATATATTTTTAAAAGTAAATAATTTTGTGGGCCAGCAGATGGCATAGTGGTTATGTTGCTGAACTCCCATATAGTCAACAACAGTTAGGGACCCAGACCCAGTGTCTTGAAACTTACACTGGGCGTGTGTGCATGCATGCCGAAGATCCCGGGAGAATAGAGGAGAAGGGATTGCTCTGTAGCCATGCCCCAGGGGGTGATTCCTCATTTTCTCTCTCTCTGTCCCTGTCTCTATCCCCAGTGAGCACACACACACACTAAAGCAAAAACCTCTATAAATAAGAAAAAGTAAATCATTTTGAAAAGATTTATGTTTATTAATAATAAAAAAGTTTTGCCTAACTCATATGCATAAAGGACACAACATTGGATTACTACCAGGTTAACATAGAAAAACCTAGAAGGTCAAATTTATCTCCCACTGGTGTAAAACTCCCAGCTCAGTTCCAGATCTCTGTTCTTATTTTTAGGCTTCTTTTAAGCCCTGTGCCATGAAAGATAAAAGTTATATAAATAAGTTTAAATAACCAACACTTTATAGTGTTATTTTTATAACATACTGAGACAACTGAAAATAAGTCTTCTGTTTGTCCATTTAGTTTAGACTAAGTAAATTACTCTATAAAATATTAGGCTGCTACTAATAATGTAAAATGTAAAGACTGTCACAATATAGAAAAAGATTCCCAGAAAGTATTAAATAAAAAGAACAAAAAAGTTGCCGTATAAACAAGGATCTCAATCAAGTAAAAAGATGGGTACACAGGTACATATGGATAAAGAACAGACCAACAGTAGTAGTGATTCTCTGAGATCCTCTCACTGACAGCATGACCCTGCACAAGTCACTGAACCCCTCTAATCCTTATGTTCTTCAACCTCTAAATTTCTGTATTTATGACATTCTCCATACACAGCAAGAGCCTAAAGATTCTTTGGGATCCTGAACCCATCTCCTACCTCCCTTACCTCTTCAACACAGTCAAACATTTAAGAGACAATGACATTCCTAAAGATAAATAATAGCATTTGATTCCCAAGAAGAAAACTATTACTTACAACACCTGTGCATCTGGCACTATACCAAGTACTTTAAATATGTTACGTCACACATCTTTCTGGATTTCACCACAGACCCACAGAACCAATTTCCGGAGTGAAACAGGGCAATCTGCAGTATGAATAAATTCCTTAAGTGAACACACAAGTTTGAAAACCAAAGGTCAAGGCCAGTGTCTTTCAAACCACAAATAATAATTCGTCATTTGTCTGCGTTCTCTAATATGTGTTTAAAAATATCATAGAAAGTATCAGACCATACTGCACCAGGTAAGTAAGATTTCCCCAAATATATATTGTATGGGTATTCTGGGTCAAAATATAAAACTTATATCTCACTTTCAGTCACAGCCAAAAGGTTTGAAAAACATAGCCTGGGCATTACAGATTTAGAATAATACACCATGAGGAAGAATAAACACCAAAAAAGCAAGCAAGGAAAAGGAAATGGCGTAAACATACTTAACTTAACCTCCACAGATATCTAGAGAATTAACAAACTGTAAGACTCTTCGACTCTGATCATCCACGGGAATGGGGGAACTACGGTAGGTCATTTGGCCAAAAAGCCGATAACTTATTTTAGCCAATAACTTATATATCCTACCCCCATTTTTTCAGTTTGTTTACTGTGGGTAATAACAAGTAGAATGGACAAATTATTCAAACTTCAGTATCCTCTCTGCCATATGGGGTGGAAGTTAAGACATGTATGGGAGACCAGCAGTTGGCATTATGGTTACATTGCTGGACTCCCACATGGCCGACCATAGTTTGAGCCCCAAACCTGGAGGCTTGGAGAAGGGACTGCGGTGTGGCCATCTTCCTTGAGGGGTGATTCCTTGCTTTCTGTCTCTCCAACAAGCGCATACGCCGTATACCAAAATTTAAAAAGACACACGCACACACACAAAAAGAAATGCATGATGGGGCGTAATTGAGTTTATTCACAACCTAATTCTAATCCCTGGCTAACTAAAAGAAACCACTCATTAAAACCGTCCTCCTGGCTTACAACCCTCAAGTAACACAGGAGCCCTACTATGATCATGGCTCATCAGTCAAGACCACTCTGAAAATTTATTACGCACTCCTCACTCCCTTTTGTTTGAAAGTAAATCACGGAATTCATTGCCAACTAGGGTCACAATTTTACCTCTACGTAAGTGAAGAAACCCGGATTCCCAAGCCATGGGCAATTGGGCGGCGCGCCTTCGTTACTACACTTCAAGGCGGGAAAAGCCCCGCACTCGCGGGGCGATTTTTCCCAGAAGCGGGAGCGACGCCTGGCTCCAGTCAGTGCGCACAGGAGCCACACGCTAGGCGGCCGACACGAAGCTCTACCTGGGTCTTCTTCTGGCCCAGAAGACTTGGCTACGACAGAAAATAAAAAGCGCGATCCCATCCTACATACACACACGCACACGCGCGCGCACACACACACACACACACACACGCACACACACATATGTGGAGTCTGGGCAGAATTGCAACACACATCTTCGTGGGGGGGAAGCGGCGTGAGGGTTGATTGGTGGAGAGTGAGGGAACAGGGTTGAGGGAGGGGTGCCTAACCTCTCAATCCCCGGCGCTCACCGACACTACCCTTCCTTCGAAACCGCTCCGGGATTCACGCGCTTGAAAAAGGTAATAGGGAGCTAAACCTTGCCAAAGACCA